TGGCCTGGTTTGCCACAGGTCCAACACACTTCACTGGGATTCTTTCCCTTGCCACCTTTTCCTTCTTTGCCACCACCCTTGCCTTTTCCTTCTTTTCCATTGGATTTGTCGTCTTTGCCCTTGCTCTTGGACTTGTCATCCTTGCCTTTTGACTTGCCCTTCTGATCTTTGGACTTACCCTTACCTTTCTTTCTTGATCCTGTCGATCTCCATTGGCATCACACCGCTTGGATCAGTCGTTGTTGGGCTCATTCCAGAAAAGTCAAAGCACCTGGCTCATTCCACTTGGTCGTAGCGGTGTCAAAGGCGATGATCGCTTCTCTGATCTTGCCATAGGAATTGCCTTCATTCAGGGTCAAATTCAGATGAGTTTTCATCTGGCCGGACACGGCCCTGAACAGGACAGCAAATTTCATGTCTTGGGACAGCTTTCCACCAAGGCGCTCATACTGCAAGTAGTGTTCTTCCAACTCCAGGATTTGAAGCAGCAAAGAACTCTTCATGTTGAAACTCGGATAGGACATTATGCCCAGAAGCAAGCTCATGGTCCTGTTTCGGGCTTGAGGTTAACGGTTCATCAACAGCTGTCTAAGGGCTTCCATGCCATTAAACTTTTCCACATTCTTTATGACTCCTGTCAACCTCCCTTGAACCAAACTCCCCAACAAACTATAGAGAAATCGGCTCCGTTGCTACTCACCCTCATCTAAGAGCTCCCAATTTACCTGTGTTCCAGAGTTGGCCTCAAGCTTCTCTAGCTCCTCCTAAAAAGCACTGTAATAGACCTTCTCGTAGTCCAAAGGGCGTCAAACTTCAGGTACTCTCAGGCAGGGATTGCGAGCAAGTACTACACCAATTTATGGATGGCTCGGTGGGGGGGGGGGGCTCTTACCCAAAGGCCTTTAAAAAAAGAATTCCAGCTAACACCAAAGGGTACCAACCTTCTCAACTCCACTACCGCCTCACGTATAAATTTCTATACATGCTTAACCTAGAATTAAATAGTTTCCTTTTCGCAAAAATAATACAATACCAAATCAATATACATTAAAAGAAATATAAAAAACATCACAAAAAATTTTAAAGATTTATATTAGAAATTAATATTAAATATTATTTATATTCCTTTAAAATTAATCAATATATTATTAATATTCAATATAAAAATATATTTAAATCGTTATAACACGCGGCCGTAAGCATTTCTAACGATAATATATTCGTTTCGATACCATACATATATTCATTAAATCCAAAAATATATATCGAAAATAAAATATATTATAATATATAATATTTAAATAATTATCTACAAAATAACAAAATCTATTTTTGCCTATATCCTTTCAATTTAAATATATTCAATTAAATTTTCAATATATACATCGTATTACCTCGATTTCATTTAGAAGATCATTTTAAAACATCTAAATAATCCAATATAAATCAGATTAAAACCGACAAATATTACCCTTTAATATTTTTTGTTTATTTCGTATCATCCATCCATCTTTCCTTTCCCCCCTTCAATCTTTCCTTTTTATCCTTTCCTATTTATCCTTCAATCTTCTATCCTTTCTATCCTTCAACCTTTCCTTCTATCCTTCAATCTTTCCCTTCCGTCCTTCAACCGTCTTTCCAATCTTCAACCTTTTCATTCGACCGTTCAATTATTCTATTCTGTTTTTCTACCCTAGAACCTTTCCCAAACCTTTCCGTACTATACTTTACCAATTCTTTTTGATCTTTCTATCCTTCAACCTTCTCTTTCTATCCTTCAACCCTTCCTTTCTTTCCGTCAACCTTTCCTCTCTATCTTTCAAATTTTCCTCTTGCTCATTCAACCGTCCTTTCTATCCTTCAACCTTTTCCTTCTATCATTCAACCGCTTCTTTCTATTTTTCTATCCTTCAACCTTGCCCTTTATCCTTCAACCTTTTCTTTCTATCGTGTAACACTTAATTATATCTATTATATCTTTCTACCCTTGAGCTTTTCCTTTTTATCCTACAACCTTTGCTTTCTATCGTTCGGCCTGTCCATCTTTCAACCTTCCTTTTTACCTTTCAACCTTTCCTTTTCATCCTTGGACCTATTCCCTGTATCTTTGAAGCTTTTCTTGATTAAGAGGAAGGTTAAGAAAAAGTTGTGTGCAAAGGATGGGAGCAGTTGCAGGGGGAGTCCAAAGGAAGAACTGGAAAGATTGAGTGCAGGACTGGGAGACGGAGTCCGAGGCAGGCCAGTGGAGCCAGGGAAGTAATGTGATTCCAGGCCAAAGGCGCAAAATACAAAATAAGCAAAATTCTTTGGGAGAAAGCAGCGCGCATGGTCAGTTGCAAGGGCCCTGAAAGAAAGAGTTTGGGGTAGAGTGACTCCAAGGGGATGCCGCCCGATGGGAAGTTTAAAATGTCCTCTGTTGCGCATAAGGCAAGCATGCGCATAAGGAAGGCATGTGAAACACAATCGTCTTGGACAACTGTGAAGAACATTAGCCCGCTATAAGCATGGAAACGGGAACTGTGTACGGCGACGATGCTGCGTGTCAGCTTGAGCTTTATCATGTGTGTTGGGCTGTGTGCCCTGCATGGTAATGGAAAGCAAGCGCATGCAAGTATGCAGGTAAGTACAACCTAGTAAGTATAAGTGTGGGCAAGCGTTTTGTCTGGGAGAAATGAACCCCCATGCGCGAATCCGCAATGATCGGGAGAATTTGGGAACTGTTGCTGCTGAGTTGACAACTGCAGCAGAGAGAGACTGTGTTTGGGCAGGCCGCGTCAACAGTGTGTCAAACAGCAGCAGGCCTGCGAGTCGGCTAGGTGGATCTGTATGTCGCACTCGGTCTGGTCTCAGGGGAGCAGGATTGCGTAACCGAGGTTAGTAAATCTCGGTAGGTGCTTTGTATAGGGGTTTGAAAGTGACCGCACTCGGGGAATCCCCATATGAAGGAGTCCGGAAATATCTAGAGAATTTGGGCAGACGCTGAGCGTGGAAAAGGGAACTGTGTAGGCCGATGAAAGTTGCGTGGAAGCAATCGTTCCATGGGTGGAAAGCTAGAAGCGTGAGCAGTGAAATACTTCCGTTTTATCACGCCTGTTGGGGGGTGTACCCTTGCATGGAAAGCGGGTGCGTGTAACTATGCAGATAAGCACAACAGTAAGTGTGGGTAAGCATTTCATATGGGAATTCGAAAATGTTCCCATTTCGGGAACGCCCAAATTTTTTGAGAATTTGGGAACTCCTGCTGCTGGGTTGAGAGCTGCATCGCGTTGGGTCTAGGCTCATGGTATGAGAAATTGATAATGACTCCGTTGCTAGCAGCTCGGAAACCACCAAACTTGGGAAAATTCGGAAATGTGGGTCTGTAATTTGTACGTTGGAAAATGACCCCGCTTGGGGAGTCCCCAACTTCTTTGGGGAACTCTCGCTGAGCAGGGAAAAGTGAACTGTGCGTGGCGACATCGCGGCCGCAGGCCTGGAAGTCGGCGAGGTGGAAATGTCTGTAGTGCTTGGTCAAAGCCGCAACAAGCATTGGGACGGAAGTAGCTGAGGCGGCGGCGCAGCCAGGAAGGCATCGGAGCAAGCAGCAAAATGAAATTGTTGCTGTACATGTAAGCGTTGAAATGCTGCGGGAGCATGTAGAAAGGAATTTGGTCGTCAGAAAAGAAAGCCAGCCTTGTAAAAACATGTCTTAGGTACCACGCAAGCCAAACTGTCTGTTCTTTGTGAAGGCCGGGTCCCCTGCCGAAAGAAAGCACAAATGCTGCAAAGAAGTAAAGGAAAAAACGCGGCCCGGAGACATGTTCTCGCAAAGTGGAGCGTTGAGGCAATCTGTCTGCAGGGGCCGTGCCAGGCTCACGAGAGCGCAGCATCAATATGCTGCGTGGCTGGTCAAGCCGTTAACGTAGTCAACGATCTTCATCGAGCAGCACAAGACTCATTGTTTGTTTGCGGCCAGAACAAGGACATGGAAGGATGACCGCTGCGAGCGCAGACTAACGGCCTTGCGCAAACGCTGCGTTATCTGGAGCAGCAGCTGCGCTATCGCATTTGTGGATGTCCCAGAAAACGAAGCAGAAAAGTCGTTTATGAAAGAGGAAAGTTGTCTTCGAGGTAGGTTCCCAAGTTGTCGCGATATCTGGGGATATTTGTTTTTTGGAACTCCACGCAGCCGCACACGAATGTAATCAAGCTTTGTCGTGCTTGTCATGCAATGTAGTGCGTGAGCATTGCCACGCTAATTGAAGTTTCGTCATGCAAAGTAATTAATCTGTCAGCCGTGATGGTGATGTGCTGCAATGTTAGTCTGCTAGATCCTGATCCTCACAATCAGGACTAAGCACTTGCACGCCTCACGAAATACGCTTACCAAATCCAGCAATCGATACAATAACTATACCGTAGACAGTAGGAACGGACGTGCCCAAAAATTAATCCAATAATTTATAGATCAGAAGTAGAAATACAAATCCGCGAATAATTCAAATATGTCGATCGATCTTAAAGATTTTCTCCAAATAATCCAACTGTTTAGAAGCAGAAATACAAATCCACAAATAATCCAATTATGGATAATTTTGAACCTTTTGCCCTAATAATTTCATTCTTTGAAAATGGCCCATTTCGAGATTCCCCACATTTTGTTAAAATTTGGGAAGTCTCGTGGCCGGGATTCCCCAAATAATTCAAACATTTGGTATCATTTGTAGACGTCCCAAAACACGAAGAAGAAAAGTCATTTATGCAAGGGGAAAGTTGTCTTCGAGGTACGTTCCCAAATTGTCGCAATATTTGGGGATTTTTGTTTCTTGGAACTGCGCACAACCGTCAATTCTTTAGCTTGCCGTAATATAAGGAGTATTCATGGTTTTAACTAATTTTCAAAACTTCATTACTATAATATATCATATTGGATAATTAAATCCAATACCATTATTATATCGAATCATATTATTGAAACATATCCCTATAAATACAAGCACATCCTCCAAGCACCAATTGCCTTTTTCCTCGCACCTTAAGTGACACGTGAAAAAAAATACAGAAAATATTGGTCGAATTACATTGAATTGGCACAGAGCTGCATTGCCTCAGCAAAGTAAGAACCAACCATTCAAGAACCAAACTGGGCACTAACCTTTGACCAGGCTTTGTATGGCTTTGCATGACCAGTGCTTGACTCGATACTGCAAGCAAATCAGTGGCGGCCACTGGGAGATTGCAGTGGAAAGTGAGTCCTCGGTGATCAAAGCGTACATGTGCCCCGTCGGACGTTCTGCGTGCCAAAGATGAATCACTTAGCTCAGCTCAATCACCAAGGCAGTGACCGGGATTCGCTGCAGTCGAGATACTCCTCTGCCTTCTTGTCCAAAATGCGTAGCAAAATGTTCTCCTCGCTCTGCAAGCGAGGAAAGTCAGCTCGGCAAATTTGCAGCTAAACTGCTCGGATGATGACCCTCTGAATCGAATCAGACTTTAAAAGCATCCCTGCCCACACTATCCAAACAGCAAGATGTGCACACACAATGTGTCATGAGGACTCTAGCCTTGAAGCCCTTTTGTATAAGAACAAGTACCGGCTCTTTGCTTCACTCTTTCACTTAAATTCCCGAACTTGGCTCCTTCATTCGCTTCTTCTCCTCCATGGTGATGGCTGAACGGGCGTTCTCATTGCCGTTGATCCAGTGATCCGCCCACCTGGCAGACGTCGGCCGATGCGGGTTCCACGGAGATGGATCCGTCAAAGACGTCAACCCTGTGTTTTTGCCAGGTGGTCGACCCCCCGCTTCAGGATCTGAAGGCTGGAATTGCACAAAAACGGGAATTCGAAATTCAGACTCAAACGATACCAAGTCTAGCTTCATGTTCTTGTGATGATGTTCAGAACTGACTTGGTAGTGGTCAACGCATGAAATCAACCTCAGCAGCTTCGGCTCACCTGACTTGGGTAAGAGTCGACTATAACAGAACTCCCTTCCTTCAGGCCCATCGCTTGTTCGGTCTCGTGCGAGACGAGCCAAAACCGGTCCCTCCCGCGACTCGGCCCCGACTTCGTTCGCGGACGGGCCCGCCTGCGATAGTCCGAGTCGATGGACGGTGAAATCCCGGAGATCGCTAAGGTGCTCTGCAGGTCCGGGCTGTGGGCGGTGGTGGGGTCTTTGGTGCCCTCTTTGGGTGGACGTTGCACGTCTTTGGCATCTTCACCTGGTGCAACATCATTGCCCGCATCAACTTAAGGCTTCAGGCTTTGGACAATGGCAAACAAAGACTAAGACGCTTTCAAGATCTGTATATATATATATATGGGAGTTGATCTAAATTCCTTTATCCGGGATCCGTCGTTTTCGCCAAAAAAATTTACTTTCGCCAAACTTTCGCCTTCCTGCGTTTTATCTTTCGCCGAAGTACGTTGTATTTATGTGTGCCATGTATGTTGTGTTTTGTTCACGTCAATGGCTTCTTCTTTACTGGCAAACACAAAATAGAAACTTCACTGTTTGTCAGCATGTGTCTTCTACTTAACTGTTGACACCCAGTACGTCTCTTTTGTTTCTCCTGGGTGTCAGCAAGAATCAAAATTGCAAGAATCACTGTAGTAGCCGGTCACTCAAACTTACTCATAATGGGCTGGGGGTCAGATGTGGCAGGGTGAACTTTCGCCAATCTTGAGCTGAACTTTCGCCAAACTTTCGCCTTTTGCGGGGTAGAGTTTTGTGGCAAAGCCACCCCCCAAAGCAGGAGCAGGAATAGTAGTAGTAGTAGTAGTAGTAGTAGTGGTAGTGGTAGTGGTAGTGGTAGCGGTAGCGGTAGCGGTAGCGGTAGCGGTCGTGGTAGTGGTCGTGGTCGTGGTCGTGGTCGTGGTGGTGGTAGTGGTAGTCGTAGTCGTAGTCGTAGTCGTAGTAGTAGTAGCAGCCGCAGCAGCAGCAGGTTATCTAACTTCCACAGCTTATCTAGCTTCTGAGTCACTGCCACCAGCTGTTCAGAAAGCAAATGAACATTCATACAAAAGTACATATTTAATCTTTCGCCAGATCTTTCGCCAAAAAAAAATTACATTCGCCAACTCGAGAAAAAACTTTCGCCAAATGAGATTTTGATATGTTCCGGGTCATCGTCATACACCCTGCTGACTAGGACCTTTAGATCGACAACCATATGAGTTTCCAGGACTGTATGTTTCTTTTCGCACCTACAAAGGCCAGCAAGGGTAGGGCATGTTCATCCATTGCGCAGCAGGCCACAAAGTGATGGCGTTCAGACCACACCACATCCATCAATGGCCCTGCCAAACGAACTTGTGGAACTGCTGGCGGCACCAGTTGCTTGCCGTCCTGACCATGACACATTCAGGACACATTCGATCAAATTCTTTGTTAAAACACCGGGGGAGCAATGAATTCACCGCGTGCGATGGCGTCAGCCAACAGTCGACGCGATGGGAGAGCACTCCAAACATCTGCAACACCCAGAAATCATCAGTCGCGCGCTGATCTTAACGTTTGCTCACTCTGACAACAAGCTAGCTAGCCGGCCTCTGAAAGAACAACTTTTAGATGATCCATCAGTCTTTTGATCCCTGATTCTCCTTGTCCCAAAAGAGCAGCTCCCCTGATTCACTGCCACAAACCACATATTGCCCATCCGGTGAGATGGTGCCCCTCACTGCGTAGTTGCCACAGTGGATGCCCAACATCTTCTGCTCCACCTTCAAGACGCCACGCTGTAACGAGACCAAACGGATGACCTCAGCCAACGGCCGGACGCTACGAACGGAGCGATCGGACGCTACTAGCCCGGGGCTCCTGGCCTTACTACGAACGGAACAAGAAGGCTACCCACACGTCGCCCGAAAATGCATCGACCCGCGAATCTTGGAGTGGAAAACTCACCATGGCAAGGGGCTGTCTGACATCCCAATCTTCGGCTGATCAACGCAATGGTGATAAGGGGACCTATACTGCAAAGTCACAGGTTCCTGATTTGGACCTTCCAGCCATACATCAGATGTCTAGATCTGATATCCGAATCCGACTTTTCCAGAAACAACTGAATCTGTCCTGAACGTTTCACCATCGACCAACCATGGACAACACCTCTCCTACCACCAAACCCAACGCCTCCCAAAGCCATGATTCCCCTTCTTCCTCCCTTCTCCACGACATGTTCACCTGCGAAAAGAAACAAGATGCACCAGTATATCTCAGTTTGAACTGTGATGTCTATAACGGCGGAACCATACTACCACAACAAAAACACACGCAACAAAAACATATCATTAAATATCCACCACCTTCAAGTTCTCCCGGCATTGGTTTCGACAGTCTCCTGAGACGATGAGAGACCAGGCCACATGGTCTCGACTGAAGAGCAAAGCCCAATCATCGGCCATGGAGAGCTGCACCGAACTGATCCGCTTCCCTTCCAAGAGCTGCGCAGTCACGATCTCGAGTCCAAAGATCGCCACACCCAACAGTTCGGAACCCGCATAGGTGCGCACGCGACCTGTGTTGTTTTAAAACGAAACAGAGCCTCAACATGGCAGCTCATGTTCAAAATGAACAACATATATAGCCTGAAAACCATTGATGGCAGGTTAATTATTGCTCCAGAAAACATGTTCGGTTGCGTTTTACAACATGTGTTCACACCTCTCAACCATGTCCGAAAACTGTCCAGGCCACTCGCGCTGACCCCGACGGAAGCATCATAGCGGATCTGGAAAAGCATGATGTGCCCGCGGGAGTCCGTGACGTAGACGTTTTCCAAGGAGTTGGTTTGCCTGAAGAATCTTCAATTTGCCAGCAGGTCAAGATTTCAAGATTTCCAAACCCTTGTTGAAGGAAATTCCTGCCAAAGCGTCCTTCGTTTCAGGAATGGGGTCGGATGTACTTCGCGCACCATCATGCATGAGCAAATTTGCTGCGCGCCCACACAACCCGACTGGGACTTGTTGTCTGCAAAAGAACGATGATGAACAGTCACGGGGTTGGTGTAAAACCCGCTGAGGCGACATCACGTCAGGATGATGAATGGCACACACCGTCTGTCTGAGCCACAGTCCGCTGCCAAGGCACGTGGAAAAGCGGACGCAAAGCACATCGGCCTCGACCTCGGCCTTGCGCGGGTAACAGCTCCGAAAGAAAAAACAAACGAGGTGTGGGGCCCACGCCGTCGCCCCGCCGTCATGGTTTGAATTTCATGCGTTTGTACAATGGGGAGTGTGTGAAATCTGGCGATCCGGGTCACGCTGCTGGCTGCTGATAGTGCAGAGCGTGAAGGTTTGAGTGGCTGCTGGCTCTTAGATCCTGAGTGGCTGTGCAGCTGATTGAGACCTCCAAATTGCAGAAGGACCAGAAGGATTAAGGTCTGCGTTCAATACAGGTATGCCAGTCATGACAAGACCAGGCTTGCCACTCAGACTCATCTGATCTCATCTGAGCTCGTTGGACAGAACTGATGCCCGTGAGGATCGAGAGACACCAATAAAAACCGCCGATCTGTTTCGATTTTTTACGAAAAGCTACCAAGCACCAAGGGAACGAGAATTGAGTTTCCTCTAATTAGCTGGAGAGCTAATTGTCTCTTGGAATCCCGGGGTTGGCCACCGATTTCATTGCCGTTTCTTCAGCAATCCTATGCAACCCTAGCCCCTTGACAAGACGGCTCCTTGGCAAAGGCAACATCTTGCCAGAAAACACGTGCGCTGGCCTGTAGCCGAGAAACACGCAGTCACGAACCTCTGTCTTACTTGCGCTGTTCTGAAGCAACGGAGATGGATCCGTGAATCCGAGATCCAGTCCATGGCGATTTTGCATCACGCGTTACGCGCCAAACAGATACAACGACATCCTTTGCAACTTGAAATAACCTGTTCCGCGCCGCCTCACAGCACGCCCCCTGCTGCAGGACTTCGGGCATCCATACCAAATTGAGTCAGGTCTGCACACTCCTTCGCGCTACATGCTGCAAGGATGTGCCCCATCTGTGGCCAAAAGCCAACGCCCGACCAGGCACACCACCACATTGCGAGAGCAATTTCTGCGGACATACTGTTTCCCGCCATGTGCATGGCTGGCTGCCGGCGCCATTTGCCGCAAACATAATCACTTTTTCTGGGTCACGAACAGCAAACGACTTTTCCTTGGTCCATGCAGCGCCGCCGGCCTGATGCAAAACAATAGGCATGAAGATCTAAGCGATGTGCCGTGGGAAGAAACCTTCATGGATGGCCTGTTCCTTAGCCAGGGGGGCCGGTCACTAAAGCCTAGACTAGCTTTTTCATTCTGCATGCCTTCCACCGTTGTGTGAAAATATTCCTGACATGGTTGAGTTGTTGGAACATATTTCCCCTAGATGTACGCAAAAGTTTACGAGACAGCCTTTTTAGCAAGATGTGTGGTCCTTGTTAATTTGGTTTCTTGTTTTTGCATATGTATTTGACATTGAGCCGCCATGGGTTTGGATGGAGCCCACACTTCTCCAAAACTATGGGACAGCGCACGTGTCGGGCGAAGAGTTGTTTGCTGCAGCTTTTGTTTGGAACTGTGGATCACAAAGTTAACAAAACCAATGAGTTGTCCTCGGATGTAGGCTCTTGGAATAATGCAATCACCTCTGGGCCATGGTTGGACCAAAAATCAAAGAAGTGATGGGCGAATGACAAATGACAGGAAAGACGGGGAACTAAATCGGCTGAACAGCTTGTTCAGGCCGACGCTGGTGGAAGTACGATCTACTCCGCTGTGCAGAAACTCGCGGTCTGCTAGCTTTTATGATTTTTAGGCTTTGGAATTCGGGTGCGGGTCACTGAGTTGATCACTCTTAGATCTTCCATTTGGCTACGTCGCAACCATAAGCAACCCAGTAATTGTGCTACTGAAAGCCCCCGACCTGCACCAGCAGCCATTCAACCACTCACGTCTAAGAGCCAGCAGCACTTAGGATTTGTAGCCACTCAGCCACTCAAAATCTTGGGTGGCGGAAGTGGACGTAATATGACGTAATCAGCTCCGTACATTGTGGAGCAAATGACCCTCAGAAGCCATAGTTTCTTTAGAAGATACCTTCGAATCATTGATATGATATGATACGATATGATATGATATATCTCGAAGCAAACCTTCCCTGCCCAAATCCAGTTGCTTAATTATCATTGGATTCGACATTGAATTGGGCTTGATTCTTCCCGACGCAAGTGTTCGTGTTGATTCCACTTTGAATACAGAACCACAATGATTGGCAAGAAAGCAGGAAATAAAAGCGGAATGAAGACACTTGCTTGTAAGTTGTAAGCAAAATGCACCACACTTTCGCAACCAAAGACCAACCTTGGCCTCTCGTCCGTAGCCACCCTTATGGCCCAATTGCACCTGATCACGCCATTCGAACCAGGACTTGAACAGTTTCCTCACGTTTCCTCTATTTGTTCGTCTTGGGCAGGATGGGCGCCCCGCACCGTTCAAAGAAACATAAAGAAACTGCACGTAGGTTACTGGCTACACCAGCCAGGCTACAAGCGTTAAAAACGTCGCAGGAACATGCATGAACATGCAGACCGTCGAGACAACGCACTGACACAAGTAACACACATCAAGACATTATTTAGAGTTATATCAAACTTTGTGTCCCATGAATTTCCCAGGCTACGCCACCTGCTGCATCTGTGGTTCGTGCGCCACCCACAGTGAGCCTTCATGACCAGCAACTGCCTCACACAAAAAAATAACTGAAGGTGGATTCACTGCTCAAAGGCAAGTCGACAGCATTGATATGTCGCCCTTTTGTTTCCTGAGCCTTATGAACGTGCTTTTGGGACCTCACTTGTTCCTCACAGTCACAAATGGCATTGCAAACCAAGGGGCTTTGAACTCTCGAGTCACCTGGTCGCATCGCATCGCTCATCCCTCGAGTTCGCCGGACTCTACAGAGGTTTCAGAGTAGATGGCACTGGCACCCCTATATGTCCTTTAGATGGGGGTTCATATATAAACCACCTCTTGGGGATTCGGATGGTGCCATCTACTCTATGTAGTTTCTTTCGCCTCGACTTCGACAGATCCATGTGGACCGAACTGAGATACATCTACCCACTGCCAAAGGCACTGCGAAAGGCACTGATACACAGACATTCCACGGGACTGCAGATTTACCTTCATTGGGGATTGTTGACCTAGGGTGAATGTACGCATATTCTTCCAGTCCCATGCAATGTCTGGGATATGGTGGTGATGTGTAAGACTTGATAGAACACATGTTCAAACATGCTAGTAGGTTGGAGGCCATCGCTAGTAGGTTGGAGGCGAACAAACATTGACATGAAAAAAACATTACATGAACAAACAATCAACAAACTTCATGTTTTTTCGTGTTTTTGTTAAATTCCTTTCCCCCAAGGAGATGTCTTCTGTCCGTCAATTGACACACACTAAGACCGCTGACAGCTTTTCCAAACACCGGTTTCCATCCGATCTAACCCGGATCTAACCCGGATCTAACCCGTCCAACCCGTCGCTCCGAGCGTCGCGATCACGCGCGCATGTATCGCGCGCGGACTCATCGCGATGAACGTATGCGCCTGGCAAAGCGTGAGGCCAAAGTGACCACCGCAGAGCAGGATCAAACAGCGGGGGTCCGTGGACATCAACGGATGCGGCCTGCCCGGGACGCTCTGCTCATCGAGGGATCTGGGTCTTCAAAGAAGGGGGTTCAGCGACACTGTCGCCGTGCATTTTGGTTTCGCAGCAAAACGAAAGGCCATGCTTTTGTTTTGGAAACGCCCATGTTCGAACCACTCGAATTGAAACATGGTCAAAAAAGACACAAAGCCTAGGTCATTCTAGGACCCTTAATTGGATACTTTTGAATCGGAAAGGAACCCTTTTGAACGCTCCACGAACACAAAACGTCCCACCAAAACCATTGGGGTTATCCATAGACCATGGGTCCAAGCAAACCGCTGAATCGATGCGGGCTCGCTCGCACCGTGTGGATCGATAGAAAAAGCGCTGTTTCGTTGGATCTTCCAAGCGCCTTTCGACCATCCATGGGACTGGAATAGTTACCTACATTGGGGTCATAAATGGGGTAAATGTAGGCAACTATTTCATACATGTTTGGTTGGATTTTGCATGATTTTGGTCGTAGCTTCATGACCTGAGGCAAGCCTCCCTCCAAAGGCTTTAAGGGTCGTTTTTGGCAATCATATGCCATACTTCACCTCACCTGCTGAGCTAACTATAATGAAACAACATATTCCCACCACCCAAAGAGTCCAAGACTTAGAAGTTGGATGTTGTCAATATGAAACCACATCCGTGGATCCGGGATGATCCGAGCCTTACAGTGTAGACCAAATCAGTGAGATTCACCTCGGAGCTGAATGCATCGCATGCCGCATGCACACCAAGCACGCAGAGCCCCATCAGTCTCATCTGCACACTCATCTCCACATCTAGTTGAAGTTGCTCAGGGATGTGGACTGGTTTTTCAGCTTCAAACATCTTCAAGCACACAACTTTGACCATAAAGAGAAGCAGCAGTTCGTAAATAGGAGGCGAGGTTCCTCCGTGGAGGCGTCGTACGTCTCTGCTTTCACTTGGAAGGAATTGCAGGGTTGGTCGTTTAACGATTCTTTTTACAGTGGTTTCAGAGTAGATGGCACCCCAAGATGTCCTTACTGATGTCCTTTAGATGAGGGTCCACACAAACCAAACTTGACCAAACTTGGGGATTGTGCCATCCACTGTATGATCGTTAGCTTCTATGGTTTTGCCCAACGTTTCTAAAGAATTGCTTTCCAACTCCTAACTTGGATGCATCGGTCTGGCATCATGCTGTCCGCTGTTCAACAGCTCCAGAACAGCGGACGGCACATGGCGTTCCGGGATGGCAGCGATGTTCAATGGCCAAGCAGCTTTGGCATGGATCTTCCTCAGCATGGAGGACACACTTTCTTCCGCGGCGATTGCAAACAGTACACAAGTCTGGTGTGGACATTTCAATCCAACCTGTGACCATTGATGACCATTGATGGTCACATTGACCACAATGAAGGGACCGCCCAGGGACCTCGCAGAAGTTCTTCTCAACTTGTTCATCTAAGAAACCAAATCCCTCATGTCCCGGCAACGATGAGAAAGGTCTATACGACACACAGAATCACACTATAGAAAGAAAACAACATCACCCACTCAAAAAAACAACTATAATCTATCAGGCTATTATAACGGTATATAACCATCATCTGACCAAGCGACATCGCCCCATGGAGAAGCCACACAAAAAACCGTTCAGACCTGCCCTTGAGACCGACAAGGATCAAGTGGGATCCCATCGGTGTCTCTTCTGCCACCTCATAGAGCTGCACGCGGCTTCCCCCACAGCCTCGAATTCGGTTCGAGGACCACGGGCATTCGAAACGCGGTGAACCAAAAACACGAAGGCGAGAGAAAACAACAACCTGTTTTATTTGTGTTCTTCCATGTGTCTTTTCTCCAAAAGGGGATACTATACAATACAGTACGTGTGAACGCGTGATGTTTTTGCATGGGACTGTCCGAATTCCGATGTGGTGCCACAAATTGCTTGGTCCGGGTTTGGTGGGGGGTCTTCTTGTCAGTGACCAGATCGGTTCTGTACCCCTGGCGCCATGAGTGTTCATCTGCTGCGCATGTTTTGCACATTGTTTCTTGGTTCAACTGGTTCAACTACATATAAACATAGTGTTTGTATCTCCAAATCGAGTGCGCCCCCAAGGGTGGGCATCCTCTTCTACATTCCCATGTAGGCTTTTGTCCTCATGACAAGCTTTATGTCTATTTTGAATGGATGGGGTGACAAATGAGAACCTCCGGCGGCCGCCAGGGCGGCCGGAGAGATCGTGAAGAGGCCGTGAGGGTCTGGCGCTGTCTGGACAAATTCCCAACAAATGCGCATCTAAGTGGTGTAGACGGGTCTTCAAGCTCCAACATACCTATTTTTGGAAAGCAAACTGGAGAAGATTGGAGATTGAAGCAAACTTCTGATTTGATACCTTCTTCCATAGAGAATCAGAAGTTCTGGTTCTAATTTTGGAGTATCTGATCGATTTCCACTAATGTTCATTTCTGCCTTGCGATCTCGATTGCGATCTCCAGATGAGCGGTTCTGAAATGTTCTGAAAACCTTGATGAAATCCCATGTCGTATCATTGTGCTTACGCCTGTGCTTACGCTGCCTTACGCGACTTACATTTTTGCTTACGCGGTGCACTTGGAGCAAAAAGGGCATACGCAGACCTTACGCAACACCTGTTTTGCACAAAATGCAGCCGACACCACAACGCGAGCTTACGCCCTGCATACTTTGTACAATGGACATCTAACCTAATCTTCGGAATATGGATGCTGAAGAAGCACTTGAGGGTGGAAAAGGACACCGGAGCCTAAACGCGAAGTGTAAACGCGCGGTAGCCACGCGCCCGAACTTGTGGGAGTTTGGCTGTTCAGCTGTGGTGTTGGGACTGTGTGTTCTGCAATTCGAGTTTAGACGGCGTGAGCGTTGCTTCAGAGCGTAGACGGCATGGCGTAGACGCAAAAGGTTTCCTGAAAAAAAAAAACGTAGTCGACGCAACCTTGCGCGCGTGCAGGTGTTGCTTACGCACAACTTCGATATGACAACACACTGAGTAAACATGGAGGGTTTTTCGAGTGGCTCAAATGGCAGTTGAGGCCAAGTCTCTGATGAGCAGCATGGGTGAGCTCGCTTGTCCTTCTCGGCGTTCGAAGCTGTGCCAACAAAGATCGTGAACCACCGCGTCGTGTCCAGCACAGGTGGCCTTGCAACTGCTGGATCCAGCTACTGGACTCACAATTCGGTCAAGGCCCTCAACCTCAAAAACATACCAGCTGCTTCCTCTCGGGGTCTCACTGAATATTTATATCTTCATTGAACCACAGGATGGTCCTTGACCCTTCAATAGGTCGCATGTGGGGCCCAATCGAAGAGCACAGCAATGAACAGAAATCCATAGCTCGAGCAGCAGAACCCCTCTCTCTGCCCGCCGATGCAGATCCAGATTCTCAAAGGAGCGAACATCGGGTTCAATTAAGGCATATATCATATTTACCAATTAGCCGGAATTGTTGCAAAGGCGCTGCCCATCCAGCCCGGCGTGCAGCCATGCTCTTGAATTCTCAAATCTTGCAGCAAGAGTTGCACTAGCATCCTCTGCAGAACAATGATGTTGCACTACCATCCAAACATCCAACTGCTCCAACTGCATTACGATCTATCGAACTCCATGTCGTCTTCTTTTTCGGAGTACCCCTTCGGATCCTGGATCCTTCCATCTCATCTCCATTCTTCCCATCCGAACCCTGGCGCCCAGCGACGCAGAGACGTCCCGTGGCCAAGCTGAAAATCTTCAGCTCCGAACCCACCGACTTCACCTCGGGTAGGAGGGGAACACGAATGGTCACGCCGCCAGATTGAACGCTGGAAGATGAACATCTGGGGTTCGGAGGCTTTTGGAAGGTCAATCATCTGATCTCCTTGTGGAAGTTTCGACGGCATTCAGACATCTTTTCACTCGGAACTGCCGAGAAGCTGTGGCAACTGCTAGAAGCGTACTCCTTAGTGCGCAAGGCTTGGAGGCCATGAAACTGTGAGAAACTACATTACATGCAAACAAGTACAACATATAGTACAATACAACTCATGTAAAACTATCCAAGCACTGCTGGTGCTTTCCGTGCTGGGCGAAAAACACATATTGCCACGAGTCACACAATCAACACACACGGGTCGCATGAGTCATACCGGAAATGCTTTGCAACAACATGAGACCGCAGGGAGAAACACAATGCTCTGAGGTTCCAATGGGCAAACAAACACTCAATGGATCGCCAGCGGCTAGCACTGAGAATGATCGTTGGCCTGAAAATGGCCATGGAAGCTGCCCTGTGTGGGTCAAAACAAAGCTGCGGGCTCACATCCTAGTGGGAAAACAAAGCAAACAAGCTTCGCTCCCAGTCGGCCCTGCGAGTCGAGGTTCCAAGGCCCAGACGGATGATCGAGCGCCAGAATCCATGGGACTGGTGATTGGAGTTTATACAAAAAAGACACGGTACATTTACCCCATTTAACTCCCCATTTGTATAATGACCACTTTTTCATGACCCTAATGTAGGTAACTATTGCATACATGATCATACATGGATTTTATTTTGGGATGGATGGCTTGCAAGTTTCTTGTAAAGTTCGCAACAGCCCCCAGAATGGTAGTTCGCACCACCCCCAAGCAGTGGCAGTTCGCACCTGGTAAACAAAGAACATACATTTCGAGACACACAGCCGCATACAGCAATCTTCCCTCCAAACTGCTGTACTGTACCTATAATTTCCTTGTACAGCCGCATAGCCATGTATAGCCTACAGATGTCTACAGCTATCTCCATAATCTATTCGTAGCTGCTTCATTGGTACACTTGAAGTACTACACCCTACGATGTTTTTGTCTCTTTTTTCAGGCCTTTCATGTTGTTTCCATCCAGCTTGAATTCCACAAAAGCCAACAACAAATCAAAAGACTAACGCACATCGTGAACCTCAGAACCTCAAACCCTCCAGTCTTGCAAACTCTACCCTGCAATATCCAGGCCAAACCTCATGAAACCTAGCGAAACACACCGAAACAACCGACCTGGAAGCCTTGACCACACTCGTCCACGCGAGCCAAGTGTCTGTGGAGAGATAGCCATCCGCGAGGCTCCACGTTTCCCTGAGGGCACCTGCCACAAGAGCTCCTCCGGCAGCACGCACGCCTCATGCAGTGGATGATTGGATGATATTGGATGATTGGTGATGGGATGGGATTTTCATTTTGCAGGTGGTGGGGGAAACGGCGGTGCGTATGTGGGGATTCAGTTTGGGACGGGGCTGGATTGCTGGATAGGCCTTTACAGTGTTGGTGATGGGCCTTTGCAAAACCATAGGCCACATGGGACAAGGACCATTAATATAGAAACAATGCTTTTGGTCTTGCAGGTGATGCAGCGGCATGATATACATGTCCTTTGATTTATTGGCCCAACAAATTTGGTTCTTGTCGACCAGTGGCTTCCAGAATCTTTTTAAAGCTCTCCACATCTTTAAGCAACACAAAAACAAAACATCTTTGGCGCCGATCCCGCCTCAGAGTCCCATCAAGCCGGAAAAAAGGATCCCGCCTGCGACTTGGGTCGTGCGTGCTGGGGCGCTAAATGGCCCAAGATCTCCTCTTCGGCTACCGTCTCGGCCTACACACGCGTGGCAGGCAACATGCGTCCAGCCGTGCGGAAGGGATGCATTATATAAGATCTATGTGTTTGCCATGGGATTCCAACAACCATCGTTTCAATCGTCTTTGCCAAACAACCATTGCTTTTACTATATAAGCGTTCCTGTTCTTTTACTGGTCTTGGAAGGCTATAGGGTCACCAAGGTCCAGTTCCGAACCCCCTACCCTTTTTTTTCCCTGAAGGTTTCCCATTTTGGACCATGCTTATCTGCCAAATGCAAAACAACAAGTCGACATCTCTCGCCCTCAGCGTGCTTTTGGAGCGTCCGGCCTTGGGACTGCCCTGCTCCACCGTGATCTTTGGTGCTACGACCTCTAACCTCCAAACGACGGCACGATACGGCACTGTGTCGAGAGGGAGCTGCAACGGAGTGTGGCGACGGAGTTGAGGACATCTCTGTAAGTCTGTAAGTCAATCGAATTTTGAGGGATATCCGATTCATTCCGAGCCGATCATGGGAACCGTGCTTGCTGATGCTGCTGATGCTGCTGCTGGTGATGGTGATGGTGATGGTGATGGTGATGGTGATGGTGATGATGATGATGATGATGATGATGATGATGATGATGATGATGATGATGTATCATATGTTGCCGGAGACAGCCACTCAACAGAAGTGATAAGGTTTAGGACCACACATCCATGAGTGTCTGCAGAAGGGAATTCTGAGTGAAGCACATGTCACAACATACAAATAACAATTCTGCACCTCGTTTGCAGATTCTGCACAACCCCCGCCTCCATCTCCACTTGGTATTTTCCACACAAAACATGGATGACACTTTGGGAATCTTTGGGACCATCGAATACACAGTACTTATACCTTCTTAGTCTATCCCAAAGCCCCTTCGTTGTATAAAGAGCTTCAATTCTTCGGTTCGTGAGAGGTTCCACATCTCCCCCTACTTCAGGTGGGTCGAGTCCAAGGAGGGGGCTTTCTGCTTGAACGCAGAAAGATGCCTTCACCCCACACGCATCGGTCGGTGTTTCCGCCGATGCGTTTCGGTGGAAAGGCCTCGTGTCCGGAATCTTCTCCCCCTGGTCCATTGGATGCTCCACTTGGATCCTGAAAAATGCAAGGTTCTCATGCTTTGTTCTTATGAAAAGCTGTCAAATGCGCATGGGCCGCATAGATTCTTCCAAACATTCACCATCATGGAGGGAACCACAGGCCCTTCTTGTTGAGGCTGTCCAACAGTTGTGGCACATAAAAGAAGTCTTCACCACTCTGATTTCAAAAGCAGGTCGAGCACAGTTGTCCAACTCGCGACAACTCTGAAGGATTCAGGATGATCTCGCGACCGGTGAAGTCGATTGCGCTCGTTCGTTCGTTGGTCTCTTGAACCAACAGGAGTAGTCACCGCTACAGTACCCGGTGGCTGCCTGTAGACCGAATGGGAACGAACTTCCTGCCTTTGTAGCCAAAAAACTTAGTAAAACAACGAGTTCCTTGGCAAAGACCCGAACGAAAGAATGGGTGTTGGAATGTCTATAGGGTAGTTCAGTGATGTTCAGTGATGTTGCCCTAGCAAACCAAACACACCTGTAACCATCGACCCATTGACCATCGACCCATACCCTATCACGAACTATCGCTTACCTCTCGATACGAAAAGAAACGCACGGACACGCCCAAGGTTCGGCTTTTGCGACATGTCCAAAGTGAATTCCTTAGACCGCCGGCGAGACAAGACACTCGCGAAGTCGCGACGTTTCCAAGATGTGATATCCACCCCAAAACAGGTCATTATGATCAATGTGCGTTCATTGTTCGTCGAAACAATTGGATGTTTCTTGTTTTCCAACAAGTTTCTGAATGCGATATTTTTCAATATGCCGTCAAAAGCAGAACCGATGCTATGCTTTAAGATTTGATAATCATCTAATAATCAAATACATGCACCCTTCAGAAGGGACGTATGTTCCGGCAGCTACGATCGGCTGCTTTGCGGCCAGGCATGTCGCCTTATCTTCAATCCCACCCTCATTTCTAGGATGATCTAGGATATAAGATATAAGAATTAACATTTCGAGAACGACATTATGCAAATCATTTTGAATGAACATGATTTGAAAACACCTGTTGCACCCAGCGGCTAAGGCCGCCGGACACTTCTGCCGGCGACGGCCCAGCAACGATGCCATGGCCGAGGCCAAAGCGCCTGACGGAGCAACCACGAAACCGCAGAAAGCATCACCCAAAGTCCGAGGTACCACGTACGAGTACTTTTGGGTGGTCAAACTTCTTGAACCAAAGCCATGTGCTTTCCCCGTGGGCCACCGCCCGACGGATGCTTGCAGTTTCAAACCAGCTTTCCTGGACGTTCTTCCCCAACGCCAGCAGCAATGTACTCCTCACGTTTTGCTGACATCGACGCGATGCGGGTCGTTTTGTATCCGGTAGCACGAAAGCTTGTAGAGGTTGAACATTGAAGAGGCTGTCTTTTTGGTTGGAAGGGATCAAGCACGAATCATCCATTGGGACTGGCAGATTTACATACATGGAGTGTCTGGGCATGATTGGATGTTGGTATGCTGCTATTCAAGCTGCTGCTCCGCGGCCAATTCCGCAGCAACGTTTTCCGCATCAGGTGAGTGCTGGGACTGCAAGCTGTGCAGTGTTTGAAGGACACGGAAGTGGTAACATGTACATTTGAAGGGATTTATTCAATGACAAGTTCAAACCAATGCCCATGAGTCAATCCCTTCCAGTAAGTCTTGTTGGCGCCGTCACTGATGCCTCACATCTGTAATTACTATGTAGACAACAAATGGAAACACTCTTTGACTATGCAAACAATGCAAAATACAGACAGGCTTGCATCGTTGACACCCCAAACGGCCTTCCAGCGTGCTCGAACCAAAAAGCTACAAACAGAAAAACAACCTTTGACACAGTTTTTAATTACTTTGTAATTTGGTCATTGTTCTTTTTAGGGTCGGCTTCTCCTGAACCACCAAAGGGATGTCATCTGAATTCTCTTCCTGAGGGCGAAGCATGGCAAAGCGGTGAACGCCATGTCACGTAAAGAGTGACGTTCTGCGATTGTTGGAACATCCCTTTTGTTTCTGATGGTGTGGGGAGTCCAGGTTCAGAACAGATCAGACTGAATGCACAGGTGATCTTACTCATGAAGTTTTTTGCCGCATCACTATGTAGACCCGCCCAAACTCCTCGGACCTGTCCCTTTGCGGGAGACGGAGAAGGATCACTCCAGAATAAAACGAACAGAAGAGTCGCCCGGGGGAAAAACATCACCATCTTGCCCGGCATTCATCCTACTTGCTCATCAAGAAGAAATCGTCTCTTGTTGACAACAATAGAAAAAAACAGGACGGATGAAGGACCTCTCTAGCCGGCTTGGCCTTGAATCCAAAGTTGCGAGGAAATCAAGTTTCTTGTGTTTTGCTTAGGCTTAGGCATTTTGTTTGGCGCACGAGGCATGCGCAATGGACCCCAATGATGAATCCAAACCTCCAATCTCCTTCTGCCGCGCGCATGAAGTTTCAGGGTGCAAAGATGTGCAAAGCAAGAAACCAAGCCAATCCACAACGTTTTAGTCAGCTAATGACTGAAAATATACTAGAATACCTGCTCTCTTTACTAAGCTCTATATCCTCTCTAACAACTATATACAATCGAACTACGCCCCTGCCGAGCAGCCAGCGCCACGCGCCCGCAGAAGTTCCGCCTCTTAACTTGCTGGAAGAACATCGCGAGAATCATCGAAGATCACGAGGATTTGATGTCAAGGCGACGTTGAATTGACTTCTAAAAGAATAATATTCTAAATTACCAACATCCATTGTTGCAATGGTCTTTGCCAAACAACCATTGTTTGTCTCAGGACTTTACATTACAAAACCAGGTCAACTTGGTCCACCATTCTTTTAGTGGCTGGATACAGTATGAGGTGCGCATTATATATACTCTAAACTCATAAAATACACCATCATGACACACAAAGTTCTTTGACCCCGTCCACTTTTCATGCAAAGACCGACACATTGGGAGTCTTTCAAAACCTTTTAATGTACGTCGACTAGTATCTTCTATAGTCTTAATCAGTCACATGTGTCCTTAACCACCACTCTAATGCCACTACCCGCCACTACCCGCCACTACCCGCCACCACCGCTGTCGGCACCTCTGCCGATAGCTCCAAAGCTGTATGCGCAGTTTCCGGCGGCTGGGCTGGACGGCAGCCAGGTGCAAGAACCCCCAAGCGACCGGCGACAAACGAAGCTGCCTGGGGGCGAGGTATGCTGCCTGATGCTGGATGGGATATCAATTCCACAGATTGATACGCATTTGTTTTTTTTGTCAATGTTGATTGCATATATCATATTTTGATAATGAGGTTTTTGACACGCATCATATATTGCACATAAATATGTGGTAATTATTGATTTTTTGGAACACTGCTTGGTCGAGTCGTGTCTTCTTTTCTCTTATGGAGGATTTGGAGGACGGATTGCACTAGCTTGGATTGGAACGTCTCTGTCAAGGGAATTGTCAGAAAATGTTCTGCTTATTGCAAGAAACTCCTCTGGTCCAGCGTGTTCACAATTCTTTGGGACCCGAGCAACCCAAGGTTCGCAAAATTGAGTCATGCAGGTTGTGTTCGTTGGTTCTTTTCTCAGCTCGCCACTCATCGTGCACGGTCGCATCGAGAATTTCGAAGAGGAATGCCATGCGCGCGTCTGGGGAGATTTGCAAAAGGAAGGCCTCGAAAACACATGGCCGACGAGGTGTTTTCTGCGGGATGCTGGTCAAACACCTCAGACACAGGTGTGCTCTTCTCATCTGCCAACCTTGTAGCAATGGGCCCCCAACCTAATAGCAAACGATCGAAAACTAGTAGAACTTCCTTCCTTTTCCTTGTTTCCAATAGCGGCCTCCAACCTACTAGCGATGGCCTCCAACCGGCCATACACTCTTGGACTTTCTTCTTTGACTTGAAGGCCTGTGAACGAGCTGGGATGATGGTCAAACAGGAGAAGAACCCGATTGAACTGTTGGCCCCAGACGGGTGATCAAAGAAACAGTTTTGGCGCAAAGTCAAAAGTGTTCTACCAGCTTTTTGCAAACACACAGACCAATCGCATCCGGCCTTTTTCAGGTTCCTTCAAACAGAAGGGGCCCAAAACATCGAATGAACGACATCACTGACCTCGTCCCAGGGTGGAAGTTCACGAACTCCACGTTTCTTGGGCAACGTGCAGAAGGGTCGAACGAAGGAGCTCTGGCCACTGTCCGCCAGCCACGGTGGAAGAAACCTGGCCGTTCGTTCGCAGGCCGCACACCGAAGCCCTAGCAGGGGTGGGGTGGCCAAACTGGACCGAGCTATGGCCGTGAGCTATGTTCTGGCCAGGTTCGGCGACTGTTTGATGGGTCAAACACCTTATTTCTACAGTAGATCCCAGACACTCCATGGGACTGGCATATTTGCCCACATTGGCCCCTGAAACCATCCCAATGTAGGCATATATGGCATAGATGGAGTCTTTGTGTATGATTCGATGATCATTCAGAATCATTCATGATTATAAATATTTATATGTCGTAATTATATAATTAGTAAAACTTGAGACGTCAAGCTGGTGAGATGGTTTGGGAAATAGATATGATGAAACCTGACATTATATATTATATTATATGTTATATGATGCTTACATGCCAAAAGGCAGCTTGCCTGGCAAGAACTGTATGACAGACCGACATGACATCAAACCGGCAAGAGAGGTGACAACATCTTTCACACCTTCGCCGGCCTTCGTTCCTTTCCAAAGGCATCAACAATCCCTTTCTGCATCTCAGGCCTTTGTTCCTTTCCATACTCCTGCTTGGTCCGCAGATATGCCGTCCCATCCTGAGAAGCGCACCAAAACGCCATACATGGGCATCCAAAAACCGTGTCGGAATCTGAGAGACTGCGCAGTAGCTCCCCGCCATGTGTCGAACTCACCGGTCGAACCTTCGGTCACACAGGGAGGGCGTGTCGCCGCCGACTCGCTGGTCGAACCGATGTCGTCATGTCGGACCCTGGGACCTCCGGTCGCGTCCGGTCCTTGTTCTCATTGAAGACGCATGGTTCACCGGCAGCCTTGCCCCAGCGGTAGCCACTGGCCGCATCCACCAAGTGCACTCGAACCAAGGGTGAAACCATGGAGGTTGCAAGAGCACCTCGCTGTGGCGCAGCGCCGCGCTGCGCTCTGATCGCTCTGGGTGTTTCAGCGGCTGCGCCAAGCACGGTGTTTCAGCGACCGTCGAGTCATGGTCACTCCAAAAGAACTGTCGTCGACGTGATTGAAAACCACTCGACGTGGCAAATCCAACAAAGATCGACAAGAAAAACGAACAACCATGAATTGTCGTTTGTCATCGTATCACACACACATCATATACCCTACAAGTCAATGACCTCATGAAGTACTGGGAGTTGGTCATACAAAAACATGACTCAAATTAGAGGTCTTTGGACAAATTCTTACTGAGTCATGGGACAATGTTGGACTATGTTGGAGTTGTACCTGAAGCCGCGAAGCCCTGGTTTTTGAATGAATCCCTTAAACTGACTCCGAACAACACTCGCAGTCTCTCAAGTCTCTCTCTCTCTCTCTCTCTCTCGCGACGTCACCTTCGACTCGGTGAATGGCCAAGCGCAACGGCGCCCGCGACGCCGGCGACATCGGCGCCGGGGGGACCGGCGGCGCTCCAGGGGCATCGGCACCTGGGTTGGAAGGCCAAAAGGATCAACAAGGCTTAGTTGTTTTAAGAGTCTTATAGGACTTAGAATTAAGTTCACCACCAGTCAATCAATCGATGTGAACATTCATTATTTAATAACGTATATGTCATAGATTTTCTTTAACTGGGCACACTGCAGGCCTGCTAGGGCCTGCCGCATTCTTGAGACCACGGCTATCTCGATGTTCGTCGTTAGCACCAAGCTGACAGAAAGGTCAATGAGCGCATCTTTTCTGACCCGTTCCAGTTCGACCAATCGAACAGCAGAGTTGATTCCATAATCGAATCCACTTCTGTGCCACAGTCAGTTGAAGGCTTTAGAAGGGCTTTCCCAGAACCTCATCATTGACCTGTTGGACACGTTTCGCATCGTTACTGTCCTCTCTATGCGCATCCCCAAACCAGTCATGGGTGGCCCACTCATCGCCAAAGCGCCCCAGTCCGCCGAAGCGGATGACGCCATCGCTCATGACGCCATCGCGGCGCGGAGGATGCTTCGGACCCGGCCTCGGTGGATCAAAGTGAGGCTACGAACGGAGCGTTCGGACGCTACGAATGGGGCTCCTGGCCTTACTACTAGGAACAAGAAGCTACGAACGTAGCAAGGATGCTATGCTCGGTGGAGGCCATTGCAAGTAGGTTGGAGGCCATCGCTACGAATGTAGCAAGAAGCTACAGTACTAGGTGGAGGCCATCGACCGAAGTAACACAATGTAGCACGCTTCGGGGCTGATCCCGGGTCGTGCTTGGGAGAAGTCGTATACTTATAAGTAAGCTTCTGAAGTTCAGCTCAGTCCGGGGTCCTTGCAAAGCTGTGGAGAAGCGCAACTTGTCCTTTTCTGTGGTTTTCAGTGATTCCAGGCGCTAAGCTGCACCCCATGCCTTTATTCAACTCAGACCTCAGGAATCTATAGAAATAATATGCTTGTTGGCGTGACCTATTTGGCTCCGGAGCTCACTCTGGTGCACACAACCACCAAGAAAAATCAAAACTGATCGTTCTCATCACGTTCGTCCCATGCATTCCCTCAAGGGAGTTTCTCAGATCATTCCACAGGACCAGCGGCGACCAGCGGTTCCGCAGAGCTGGTACCGCGCGGGCAGCGCCGGTGGAGAGCAGTTCATGTCTGTCGTTCCGTTTTTTTTGGAATCACTGGGTCTTGACTTCTTATGCAAACATCAGACACCATCTTTCAGATCACATGTCTGCCTCTCTCTCTCTCTCGCCTTTCTCGATCTTTCTCTCTTTCTGCGGTTTGGATATGGTGGATGAAATTGATGAAACCCTCAAGAGTTAATGAAGACACTAATCATCATTAATCCTTTTTGGATTAAATCATATAGAAAACCATCAACAAAGCTCATCGCCCTTTGAGGGCTCTGCATCGCTCTGCCAGTATTTTCCCCCAGGACTTCTTGAGCGGCTTGAGCAGTCAATCTGCATTCAAACGTAGTACCTCAAAATCCAACATTTGCACGGACTCCGGACCTGAACTAGAGGTGAAGTCAGAAACGGTCGAGGCTGGGCTCACAGTAGATGGAACAAAGCCCTCTCCAGAACAAGAGAAGCTCAGCAAAGGACCAGTGCATGGTGCAGCTTGTTTCCTTCTGTTGGACAATTGAGAAGGACTTCGAAATCATGTTGCTTCGGATCTGGTGGGATGAAAGATCAACAAGTTCAAGTAACCCAAATTGGACACGGTGCATTGAACTCAGGACATCGTAGTCCGGTACGTCACAATTACATGATGTTGGAACCCACCACGAATACGCGCACGGAAAAGGCTGCACACAGTACGTAGCTGCTACTGCACGTATTTTCTAAAAGTGGTGAAGCAAGCTCCCTCCCTCATCACTGATGGCCGTGGCGATCACTGCCTGGCAGCGATGCTGCTCATTTTTCGTGGATGTGGAGGTGGTGCGATGGTAAAAGGATGCTTTGGAGATGATGTGTCTTGAACATAGGGAGCCTTTTTCCAAACAACTGCTGAAAAGGCGATAGGAGTTGACACCAGGGACGGGTGGTTCGGGTGCCTCCCTACTTGAATGTATATAGTATAGACTATAGACACTGGAGCCCGAATCCGCTTCGAGCATCTCCCCCTCGTGTCAAGCATCTCGCCTCGACATCATTCATGGTCTGTCGGAAGGCCTTCTGATTGTTTCCCAAGCTGTAGTCCAACAAGGCCTGGCGAAGAACTGGCATCCCAAGAACCAATTTCGGGATTCATCACCTTTGGTCGTTGGATTCTTCGGCAAGTTGAGTTGCTTTGCCGTAATTTGTGAAGTGTGCCTCTGGTTAGTGTGAATTCGGTCTCCGTTCTGGTCCCAACAAATCCCCAGAGGCTCCAGGTATTTCAGCCTCTCCAGGTATCCTTTGGTGACCAGGAGCCAGCTTCAATATATCACAACCCAGGAGAACGTTACCAAATAGCCGATCGACCCGCACCCACCTGAAACACAGCCGTCTTGTTGTTTGAGCACTTGCTCAAACCATGACGATTCAGGGTGGGCAACGGGCACAACGGGCACTTGCTCTCCCATTGCCTCATTTGTTTGGCATCACTTCAATCCCAGTGGTTGACATCACTTCCTATGGAAGATCTAGACTCTCCAGGTGCTAAAAGAACCCGAGTGCCAGTCTCCCAGTCTGGACCTACCTTAGACAAACCAGCACAGTCTGCCAGTCTGCCGGTCTCCACAAGATTGGTTGAAGTATGTTGCAGTCAATTGGCATCAAGGTTTGTATCTCATCACATCCTTGGATGGTTCATCACCGGTATCAGTCTGATCAATTGATCACCTCAAGAAGAACACCGAGCTCCAAACGAAGCAACCTCCAGACTGCAGCTCCACCCAATCCCCGAGCTCGATTAGAGGCGCGGCATACCCTGCCTTGTGGAGCCGTAGGGGGTACCTCAGTGTTTGGCAGCTGCGGCAGCACGTGCGGACGAGCTCGTCCAAGCGCTTCTCGTTTTGAGAAAAAGAATACCTAACAAACGGTCCTAGGTGGACAGATTTCATGGTCATGGTTGTGTTTTGTTCCGGAAGTTCATCACATGCTTGTCCTTCTCGTCATACCAAGGATCGAAAGGATCACGACAGGCTTTGGGGGCGATCTCTTCTAGAACAGGCTGAACACAACCTACCAAAGGAAAGAAATCAGAGAACAAAAAGAACAACCATCAATGTTCAAGATTCAACATACGATAACATACGTGAGAAATCCATTTCCATCCATTTGCATTCCATCCATTTCCACCAGCCGCTAGCCTTGTCTCGGGTTTGGCTCTCAGGTGGTGACTCCACATGGCTTCGGCACCAAGTACCCACCTCATTGGCCGTGTAGCCATGAGCCTCAAAGGCAGGAGGCACCATGGACATCCAATGACATCTGATTTCTGATGCATCTAGGAATCCCTCCTACTCCTACCAGTATCGCTGAAGGTCTCATGCACAAAACCTCTCCCGCTGCGGGAAACCGCGTGCCGACCTGACTCGACGTGAGCCGATCGGCCGTTTCGGAGCCGATCGTCCTTTTTCACCCCGCTTGGCCTCAAGAAAGTCGTCTAAGTAGGTCCACTGTACCACATGACCTGAGACGACCACGATCCGTGTTTCGGTGTCCAAGTAGTTCGAGTTGGTACAGCTTTCTCAAGACAAGACTGCAAGATTTAGGAGATTTCGTTGTCCAAATGATCCCTATAGCAGTAAGAGGCTGTAAGCGCTTAAGACTTGAATGAGAGCTGTTGTTCATTGGATCCTGAGGATGGTGAGTGATGCGAGTCGATCTTTGAGATTTATTGAGCGGTCCCGGACGACGACAGTCCGGCTACTGCGGTTTTGATCCGACTTCGGAGACCCGGGAATGTCCTTTACTTCGACGGTCCCCAAAGAGATTGTCGAAGTGGACATGTTAGGGGATTGGTTTAGTCGATCTTTGATTTTACCATATTTTACCCTATATGGATACCCTGACCACAAAATGTATATATCAATTCAGCTCGTGAGCTGCTAACCATTCTTCCGAATTGCGGAATTGCTTCATCTCTGAGTCCTTCAGCCAAAGGAGTGATCTTCCACCAGCAAGCTCACTTCCTGCCGCTCGAAGCTCAGCTGGAGTCGGAGCGGCGTCGAGCTCCGCCCCAAGTTACACCGAAGCACCGGAGGAAAATGGAAGATGAAGGAATGATATCTCAAGCATTTGGAATGGGCCACCTTCTAAATCTCTAGCTTCAAAGCAAGAAGATTCAGGTATGAACACGTTCATCACGAAAAGCCACGAAGTGACCAAGTCGCACCGGCGGAAAAGCACCTGCTCCTCAGAGCGGAAGTGTTGCTCAGCCTGGGAGACCCAAAACGGTGCGACCGTTCCCACGTGCAATGGACTGCAAGTTGGATGTGGTGGCTACAGGTGGTCAGGAAAACCAGGGAAAACAATAGCATGGACAAAACACACCTCGTTTCAAGGTGAATTAGCAGGAGGTGATAACCAGAGTAGTCTCGTGGCTCCAGGTAGCTAGCTGCAGGTGATCAAGTCCTGGTGGGGCCTGGGTGGGGGGAGGGTTTTGGACTTCATCTTTGCCATCGTTCCAGTCCTAGTAAGAAAAAAACCTTTCGACCATATTGGCGCATTCAGAAGGTCGGGGAAGGTAGGCTACAAAGATGGCTGAAAACCAACGAACCCATGCTTCTTCATGGCGCCTACAGCGTCGGTGTTGAACCACAACCACCACAACCACAGCATTTATGAACTAATGATGCTAACCTGGTAGCGTCCTTGCTCCTAGTAGTAAGCCCAGGAGCCACTAATAGCGTCCTTGCTCCTATAAGCAATGCCCTTTGCTCCTAGTAGCTTCTTGATCCCCAATGGACAAAACACGAGCTGCCACCAGCCTGGAGGACGGCCGAACGTGGAGAACGTGGATAAGCTAGGTTGGCTACATGGGGGGGGCGTTCTGCCCCGGCGTTGCAAGCAGCAACATGCCGTTCGCCAGATTGCAAGCAGAAAATAGCAGAAAGCATAAGATCGAAATATGTTGAAATGAACCCAAAGGCCCATGAATCTGAACCAACTGCTGTACGGTCCAAAACCCCAGTTGTGAGGACCAATCCCCCGCTACGGAGAGCTTAGCGAACTGCCGAACTCGCTCCAACGGATCACTTCCACTGGCCGCGCCGGCCGCTTGATGGATGGAGCGGAAATCCTCGGCCAAGCACATCAACGCCTGGCGATCAACAGCTCCAAGTCCAGACTTGGCTCTCTTCCACCGAGCGGTTGAGCGGTTGTCTCGTTCCGCTGGGTCTCAGGGTCCCAAAAGTCTCAGCTTCCGCGTCAACGCCGCCAACGGCATAAAACAAAGAGTATGCACCTGTGTGCGGCACGCCTTGCACAGGGTAACTCATGTAACTCCAACACGAAGACAAACACTGATCTAATGCTTCGCCAAGCCATGGACCTACTCAGGAAGAAACAATCAAAACACTTGCCTTCCTGCAGATCCTGTTGTTGATCCATGTTGATCCTGTTTAACAGCGTGATTCCATTTAGGACGTGCTCACAGGCTATCAGGCTAACATAGGCTAACTGCAATTCTGCAGGCTGCTTTTGAACAAATCCCAACGGTCGGTTCATGGTTGGAACGGTCCCAACTGCCTCGGGAGTCTTCCGGCGGCCACATTTGGCCAGCACCTGGGCGGAACCGTCGACGCCTCGGTCGACGCCTCGGGCGCCGCGACACGAAGGTGGACGTCTCACGCCACGACACGAGGCGTTCGTCAAGTGTGGTGTGAATCAATGGAGATGACCTACACCATGGAGATGACTTGAAATGGTACATGAGTTCATGCTTTCTCAACGGGACATCTGGCTTGGAAACTGGCCTAAAAGGTATGACAAAAGGACACGTCGGATGTTTATAGGCAAATCAGAACATCTTTGAAACTAAATGGGAGAAAGCAACATACCTCATGTCGGTGCAAACTTAGACTTGCACCTTATGACTGTCGACACGACACTACCCTAGAACCAGAAACATAAACACCACATTCATATAATTACTACACAAAGACAGTACAGTTTAATGTGGATTCAAAAACAAACAAACAGAAACATCAAACAACATTTAAAAACAAAAAACGGACGCACAACTCACAACAGAACGTACAAAACATCACACCGGCCCAAACCGGACTTGTTGATCTGTTTCTCCTCCGTTCGAGCCCAGCCTCTAAGCATTCCTGCATCAGTCGGACCTGGCGAGTGTTCTGCGGGCATGCGCAGCGAGTGTTCTGCGATGCGCAAAGAGTGGGGGGTGTTCATCTACCTATACCAGACACGACTAATGGGACTAGAAGATACGCCTACATTGGCCCCTGAAACCACCCAAATGTAGGTATGGCATACATGGAGGGTCTGGGATAGGCAACTGGTAAGCTGCTCAGTCCGAGCACCCCGAGTTCACGTCAATGAAAGGCTCAGATTCGCGTCGAGTGATAGGGTCCTATAGAACATACGATCGTAGGATCATCCCCTCCAAAGCAAGTCTAGACAATGAACATGCTTTTGCCCTTGGTACTTTGAGACCTTGATAAGAGATGAGAGCAAACCCTTCCAACAAGGTCATGCGTCTCAGGAAACTGCGGTGCAAGTGCCTACGTTGCTTTGGATGGGATTGCTTGTAAGCACCGTGTCCCCTGTAATAGCCACAAAAAGGTTTTACTACATGTTCACCCTCCCTGAAGAAGCACTCACAAAAGATTTGTGACTTGTTGCAGTGAACATTTTGCAATTCTGACTGATAATGTCGCACTTTAGATTAAGTTGTTGTGATTTCTGGGTCATGGGATCAGACAGTCCCTGCCAACAAGTTGAGACAGGTTATACAATTGCCAGGTTATATCAGGTTAGCCTTTCCAAGCAGGACCAATGCCCAAGTCGTGGGAGCGTACCTCAACATCACAAACTTATCAACACAAACTTAGCTATATAATTGCCTGAACATCAAAGACATTGATAAGCTCCTAATAATATATTCAATATACATTAATATATCCGATAAGTCTGACAACTTCAATCCTCTGCACCCCTCCGTGGGGTTGCCAGTTACACCAGTCAAAGGCTCTGGCCTCCACCCAGCCCCAGAAGATGCATTGAGTACTGAAAGGGATCGAGCCACCTCCAGCCTCAGAAAACTGAGGTGACAGTGTTTGAGGTCGAAGAGTTGGAGACGGCACGAGGGTGACTGAGGAATGACCAAAAACAGTTCCTGCAATCTCCGGGCGAAGCTTCGGGAAGTCATGTAGCCCATATGGCTCAAGAGCATTGGACGAGGGGAACTAAAACCAACGAATACCGGTCGAAAGGCCTAATGATAAGTACCTAAACATACCTAAACATATAGCCAAAAATGACAAATCACAACGATACCACCGGTGATCTTCAGTGGATCCCTCCGCACCCATGCGGTCTCCACTGTGCTTCTCGGCCCCGTTGGCCCAGTCTAGGGCGCCCGAACGCAGGGCACCCGGCGAGCCAACTCATCGATCTGCCCCTGGCGCGTTCCGACCACGGCGGCGGACCGCGGTCCGCGAGCCCCAAGCGGCCCCGTTCGGTGGTTCAGCGCGCGAGCGGAGCTCAAGCGCCGGACGGACACAGCGCCGTGGTCCTCGTTTCGACGAAGGACATGGGATGATTGGATGATGTTCGCAAGGACGGACCCCGAGCGTCGAAACAAACCAATCCAACCATAGTTTTTCCGGCAAGATTTTGACTCGTTCCATCTCTGTATTCTGCTGGCTATTTCCTTGTTTCAGGTGGCCTGGATCATGGAATGATAGGAACTGCTTCCAAAGCATGCTGGGTTGTTTCCAAGAAGCTTCGCCACTGCAGGATTTCGTGGCTTTGCATGTTTGCATGGCTTTGCTCTCTCTCTCTCTCTCATGGAAATGGAGTGACCTTCCAACCAGAGTTGAGCTGGAATATGCTGGATTGAATTACCAAAGAGAAGCTGGAATATGCTGGATTGAATTACCAAAGAGAAGAGCCCCAGAAATGCTGCGATGAAGAAACTCAGTGCGTGCTGTCAATGGGTGTAGTCCGACTAGGTCAATTCCAGTGTAGGCTGCGCAATGCTCGGATGTAGACTCAGTAGACAGTCCCCAGAAGCCAAACCCAAAGGGCACTGCCCACGTTCAGCGACATCACACCATTGCTGTGTCATTCACACCTGATCCGGAAAACAGATCGTAGCATCATGCAGATTCATCAAAGCAGCAATTCTACTAGCAATTAAGCTCCCTTTTGTGACTCAAAAGATCTCAAAAGTCAGCCGGGCGTCGCCTGTGACCTGTCACATAACGAGTCGGTGACCTGTCGACCCAGACATCGTTCGATGTCTGGCGCACCTTAAGGTTCTGCAGGTAGGGCGCAGCTGGGCTGCTGGGAAAGCTGGTGGCATCCCAGCGGAGTGCCTGGCGGCTGGGTGGTCACCCTGAGGAACAGTGTGTAGGCACGGTCACCCTGAGGAAAACCCATCCCGAATAGTATATCCTAGTTATTGTGTTGCCACATGTATTGTGAATAGCAGGGTGGAGGTGGAACAGGGACTCGTACTCCAACAAACACCCGTTCTTCCAATCATCCCCAGCTTGGGATTGCGAAAGACTGATCAAAGAAACACGGTGATTCATCATCTTACCACCTGAGTTAAAACCATGGGAACCTCTTGTCTTCTCCAGAGCTCAGATCTACTGATCAAGAGTAGATGAAGTCCGACGACGGCACCCCAAACGAACTGGTGGAGTTGCTGATTGAGCTTTGGCAAACACACTCCAATGGCAATTTGGTGAGATCAGTCGACGGTGCAACACAAGTACAAGGTGAATCCATCTGCCTGCATCAAAACTCCTGACAACTAAATGTATTACATTGTGCTATAAGTACCAGGTTCCAGAATCCGCTGAGCCTATCATTCTATAACAAGGATTCACACACTACTTCGGAAAGGATTTGGACTGCCCGTGTATTTCCGGTACCAGTGTCCAAACTTGGAGCGGTCGAAACCGCTCGTACAGTGGTGAAACACCTACCCTGCTTCGGAGTGGTGTCATTCCGGAGCATCCATGGAGTGTATGAGTTTCACCCCAAAGACTACCCCCTTTCCTGGAAGGTTTAGGAAAAATAGACCACAACCGGTTTTTATGAGAGGTTTCACCGTTTTAAATACTGACCATCTTTGATTCCTCAGAACGTCCACGGCCGGCGTCGCCAACCCTCGCTGGGGGGGGGTCAGCCGGGCGCCAGCCCTCCGTCGCGAGGCAGGAGAAACGCTTTTCGGCCAGGCGCCAGCAGTGAGGTCCTCGCATGAGGTCCGACCGTGAAGGGGAAATACTGCAGCAAAGCAAGTGGAGGATCATGTCGGGAATGTGGAGCCACAGTGAAAACCATGTGAAACCCATGGGCCATGGGCATAAGAACAAAAACTCGGAGACTTCCTCCAACTGAGGTTGAAACATACACCCCGTATAGGGGAATTTTAGGGGATTATGACCTCTGCTGTGTGGCACTTTACTGGAAACGTTGTTCTGGCCCTGGCAGTACACCCTTCATGCAATTCGTGCACCCATCCTACACAGAATCCGTGCGCCAACAACCAAGAAAACATGATAGACCCCCAAGAATACCTTTACCGCTCGCGCAAATAACTGTTCAACACGTTTTCTGCAGGAAACAAAGCAGACCTGATCAAAGGAAAGGACATCTCGGAGCGACCTTTTCGATGGAAACTGTCCGGACCCCAAGTCTGACCATATCATGGTGAGTTTCTAACCAAGATGAAACCAGAAATCAAACACCAAGCCACTTATGGGGTGGTGACTGGGAGCGAGCCAAAAAGACGCCAATCACTAAGTTCTGAACAAATAATTGAACATCGAAAAAACCAACCACACAAACACTAGTATATATATTATAGAAGCTACTAGGTGGAGGCCATCGCTATTAGGTTGGAGGCCATCGCTACTAGTAGCTACAGAAGCTACTAGTAGCAATATCCTTCAACGGGCCGAACTCGAAGAAGGCTCGGGCATGACGGACATGGGCGGGGAAACGCTATGCCAAGAGCGAAAGTGCGTCCTGACCATTGGGTTGATGACTTCTCAGGGTTTCTCGCGGGGAGATCAACATGAGGAACATCATCCTGGGGAATCTGGAGAAACTGATAGATCTGACCCAAACTGACCAAACTCGGGATATATGTACTGAACCCAACACTGGAGAGACAAGCATACCGTCTCCAATGTGCAAGATTTTGGTTGAAGACCTAACACCTTTGAGGAACCAAACTCAATGAATTCCCCTCAACTCTGTTGGCTCGGTTCGGGTATAACTACTGCAGGGTCAGTCGACTGTGACGGATGGCGCCGCCCACCCAAAAAGCGCCTGGGTGAAACGGGTCGACCATCTCCAGCGATGACCTGCAGGTAGACGATGCAACACGGTTGCGTCTCGCTTGACTGGGGCCTGCTGGGATATGTCCTACTTGCTGAAAAAGTCTGTGGCATAGAAATGGAAGAACCAACGTGGCAACTTCTGTTGTCTCTTTAGTCTACAAGCAGGTGGTGAAGGTATGATAGCAGTCTTTGTGACAGTTTACGACTCACCATTTTGTGTGGGTCAGCTTTCCCCAGAACCCCAGAAAGCCTTCAAAAAATAGCCCAAACACTCCATGGCCTTTTAAATGCATTGGGATGGTTTCAGAGGTCAATGTAGGCACGTATTCCATACATGGAATGAATGGGTATGGCTTCCACATGTGATTCACCAACTCGAACTTGCTTCACCTTGCAGTTTCTTTCCTGAAGTCGGCTTTCCCCTTATACAAACCAGTGGTGAGATGGGGACAAAACTATATGCCCTGCCTCAGCAGGGCATGATGTTGCATGCTTTTGTCGGGTTTGAGTGAAAAACGGGGTCGGGTGGGCCTATGCTAATTGACCCATGTGCACGGCTCAAATTCACACAAAAAACACATTGAGTCAAGTCTCTTAAGTCGTTACATGTTACCACGCTTTCAAATCTCATGCGGTCCGATGTCCCAGGCGTGAAATCCATTGCGGTGACCGTCATCATTGAGGTACCTTCAAAGGACCCAAGAACTGGTCGATTAGAACGATTGGAGAATTCATTCCGGTTGGCCCATCGGCCTCACATCATGCTGCAGAACCAGCGACAGCGCACACGCTCCAAATCTCCTGGCATCGGTCATGAAGCGAAAGAAAACAAGGGATGCGATTCATGCGATTCCAGTGATCTGGAAATGGTTCCGAAGAAATCCGGTCCATGCTAGGCCCCTAGGCAAAATGGCAGCTGATGTGTACATACCATGTTGTTACCTCTGCAAGAAGCAAGGTCTCGCCTGTGGACAGCGTTTGATGCTTGCAGAACACCACTGCCAGGGTCTGGTCTTGGATCTCTACTGAATGCTGCCCATCTCTCGATGCCTTTCAATGCAAGGATCCCTTCAACCTTTCGCTTCATTTCATGATGCTTCATTTCTAGTCTCTCTAGTGTTTCATGGTTTCGAACTCCACCTCAAAAAACGTGTCGAAAACAGGTCGACTGTGTCGCCTGTCTGCTTCGAAACGTGCTTCAGGAGGTCCCACCGGACGGTCCCTTGGCGCGGTGACGTCCCACGCGCGAAGCGTCGCACCTGACGTCTCTGGTGCTTCTTCGGGCGCCGGGCGGACTCCAACTGTGGCACTCTCAGATGCCTCAGGCGAGCGTAGGCAATGCATGGCTTTTTTGGGGGGGTGTGGTGGTACGCCATGCCTCGCCTTTTGGTGGGTACAGAACCTCGTTTTCTCAATATCTTGCCTCGCATCCACAGGCATTTCGATCTCCAACAATACCTCCCAAATAAAAGTATGCAGACATGCAGATGCGAACCCGCCAGCAATCTCGATCTTCAGAGAATTAGGAATCCTTCCTGTGAATTTCCATGTATAGATACTCAATAGAACTCAAGTAGCTGATGTCACCTCTCATGAAAACGACCTATAAGATCCCTGACCGGTCCCAAAGGTGGTATATACTGTAGCCCAGCCTCTAGGTCATGGAGTCAACCACAAAATACCTAACAGAGGTTGAAAGACCTGAAGGGTCGGACACCGGACATAGTGGTACGTCACGAATTACATGGGATGGGCGAAAACGGGTCGACCTCTCTTGGTAGATCAGGGACGTCCCTGACGACCTCTGTGACTTGCTGACTACCTCGACGTCCGCATCAAGGGGCGAGTCTCGAAGTAGCTGCGAACCGTGCTCCGAACGGTCGCCTCCCGGCGCCGAACATACCCAAATCTGTAAAGATCTCAACTTGTATCTGTCCAAGCACTTAGGTGTTCCTGACATCACAACAACCTCGGAAGGAAAGCTAGGGGCTTCCTCCGTCTGTTCCAAAAAAAAACCTTTCTTTATATATAATTTGTTCATGACCGTTTGGTCTGGCTGAACGACAAACTGCTTCGCTTTGTCCCCGCTAGGTTGGACCTAGCGAAAGCTCTGTTCCCACTGAAGAAAGAACGACTGTTACAAATCATCACAATAAGCATATGAATATATATATATATATATGTTTTGTTAGGATATGTTTGGATATGTTGAGAATGTTTGGATATGCATATTTAGGCTTCACGCTGGCGCCTATCCACAACTCACCAGCTTTGGTGAGTCATACAACAGTTGATCCATGTAGTTTCTTGTAGTGGTGGCACAGAATTGCTGTTGACTTCTGAACACATATATAAGGCAAAACATGATTTAAACAACAGCAATGAACTCCAACTTTGTGAGCAGAATCCAATGACTGATCATTCCAACAAACATTCTGTCCATCACATCAAACCGGCAGGTGTGAAACATCAAACCGACTGGTCATCAGGCTCCGACTGGTCCCCCGACTGCACGTCCGTTTCCGATTTCGGGATCCCCACCAAGTGAAGGGAGATCACTTCAGCCTTCACCTGCAAACCCAGGAACGATCACGCGGAAGGTCGAGCTGACGCTCTCTTGAGAGGCACCCCATGAGGATGAACGACCACGCGGAACGACTCACGACACCACGTGGAATGGAATGCTCCACGAGGTTTGGTGATGGTTTGAGTGGGGTGAGAAATCAATCCTCAAAAAGATTCGTGACGGTGTTGGTTCATGCAGAAGTACTGGGAGTTTTGATGGACCTTGGGAGATGGGCATGGCGCACAAAACCCAGAAGGCCGGAATCGGGTTCATCTACAAAAGATGCATCTGAACATGTCCATCTATTTTTTGTTTGATTCGTGTTTGTTCAACGTTTATATAAATGCTCGAATCAGAAACGAATACACGTGTTGGATGTGGATATCTCTACTGATCTTTGTGATTGCATCCCTACATATATCTCTATAACTGCCGGTACGCCTTCTCCGTTCGC